GCTGAGTTGCGCGCATGCGCAGAAGTCCCGGCCGAGGGCCGTCCCGCGTGTGGAGGGGGCGCTGGGGGTTCCTCAGAGCCGCCGCGCCGGGACCCACGGGCCGGGACCCGCGTCCGGACACTCGCGGAAGCCCCGGGCTGGCCGGCTCTAGATTGCCAGAAGGGGCACTGCCGGCGGCCAGAGCGATAACTGCTTCCGGGCACAGCCGTGTTCTTCGCTGCTTCGTGTTCTCACGTTCACCGAACGCCCTGGCGCTACAACACAGTCCGCCTTGTGTGGCCCCCAGAAATACCTTCCGAGCGGGCCGCCCAGGGAGCTGGTGGAGTGACCGTCTCTGGAGGTTTAAGGAAAGACTGGAGGTGGCAATCAGTGTCGTGGTCTAGTTAACACGGTGGTGTTTGCTCAGAGGTTGAACTCGATTTTCCAAACCTAATTGATTCCGTCATTCTGTTCTCCTCTGTCCCCGTTGCCGGGCTTCAAAACACAAGCAAAACCTACCAGTCTCAAGGCTCATAATAATCTATTTGTGTCGGATAGTGGAAACTCCCGAGATAATTTACAGATCACTAGGTCCATTACACTTCTCCTTGGTAGTCCCAAGAGTCCATAAGATTACAAAGGCATCATCAAATAGTAATGTGGGAGTGTAGATGAAGAGGTGCAGAATGGCTTTTTCCTCTAATTAGTTGTGATTAAGACCTAAGAGTTTGTGTGTTTCAATGAAAATGTCTTAATGTCTTAAATGTCTGTTCAAATGCTTGTACAGAAACATTTTACGGAGCAAACCTGGTTCAGGAGAAGCAGCTACTGGGAAGCATATGCTGTATCAAAAGGAGACACATTTACAAAATAAAGATTTGCTGCCTTGGTTTTTCTTCTTTAGCTATAATTATTCTGACCCTGTTAAAGCTCCTGTGGTCAACCGGAGCATACAGATGCATGTGTGGTTTATAGGCTTGCAGGAGGCACTGCCACCCAGCTCATACACAAATCTATTTGAGGTAATGTGCTCCAGGTGAGGTGAGCCCAAATAGTTGTCACACACCAGTACAGACTCTCAGCACAGCAGCAACATCACATTTCCAGTAACACCTAAAAAAATATTTTATTTCTCTCCTTTTTGCAAGGTCAGTGAGACTATTGCTGATCATCAAAAATAGTGTCTTAACACATTTATCTGCCTCTTTGTCCCAAAGTTCTTTCACGCAAAACTTTTCTTCTTCCAGGCATGGTGGTAAAATTATAAGACTTGAAAGGGCTGGTTTAAAAAATTTATCCTAAACAAAAGAATATTCCTTTCAACTAAAAGCTAACAATTTGTCAATCTCCCAGCAGCTGAGCTCTGATAACACTGGGTGCGCAGTTCCCACAGGCTGCACCAGGAGCCAGCCCTTCACTGTGTCACATTATTTATGGTTTGGTTTCATCTCAGAATTAGGAAAATTTGCAACCTTGTTAAGGAGTCCATCCCTCCAGGGGTGGATACCTGGTTGTGTTAACATCAAAATTACTTATTTTTTTTCTTTCTATAGCAGGATACAGATTGGGTGCCTGCAATCACTTAGCACAGAACAGGGGAGCAGAGAGGGAAATGCTGCCCCAATGCTTTCTCACTGTGATCACAGGAACACCTGTGATCTGTCCTAAGCAGTACTTGGAGTCCCCAGATCTCCAGGATCTATTTATTAAAAAGGTCCTCATTAACAAAATCATAATACATACCTAATGTTTATAAAATACACAACTTTATATCTTTTAATTTACACTAAACAATAATAGAAAAATATTGCAGCTGTAAAAATTCACTGTTCCAATCAAACAATAATACAATCAAACAAAAAACACCACAGAAATTGATGCTGCCCATCACTGAACCTTTTGAGAACCAAGAACAAGTTTCCACATCCTTTAGAACATCCTGAAAAACACAAAATAACATCTATATTTCATAACATCTATATAATCCAAAAACGTTGAACATTTACAAACTGGGGAGAGGGGTTAGGGAAGAAACAAATACTTGAGCCACTGGGAAAAGGCCTTTCAGGTTCTTTTCTCTCACAATACAGGGCCGGCCAACATACACATGGGACAAACCAAAAGGACAATGCTGATCTCCAGTCTGAATGCACCTGTGGTAATACATCACTGGAGTACCCTGCATCCACAACTACCCTCGCTCAGCCAGGAGCTGGACTGATCCAGAGAGAGAAACAGCCCAAATCCTCAGGTTTTTCTGCTCAGATAAAGGAGCTGAGGGTTAACCTTAATACTGGAAGCTGCGCTTAGTTTGAATGTCATCGAGAATCTGTTGTAATTCTTCATCTTCAAACCGGCCCTCCAGGCTGCAAGGTAAGAGCAATAAGGAAACATTAAAGGTTTCAGAAATAATCTCTCCCCATTGATTCTTTTCAGTTTTAACTCTCTCCTGTCAGTCTCAACACACCATCACCCACCAGTGTAACCACCTCTAACATCACTGTACAAAGAGTGCTCTAATCCCTAGAGAGTGCTTCTTCTCTACATGACAAAACTCCATTCTTCCCAGAACCTTCTGCTGAGTAACTTCAAAAGGTCTTTTCAAAAAAGGCAAAGCAGGTGTAAGTAGACCTCTAAATGAAGTCCATGAAGCTGCATGCTCATAAGCCAGTCCATTCTTGCTATGAAATCTTAACATAAAATCATGGAATGGTTTGGGTTGGAAGGGACCTTGAAGATCATCTCATTCCAACCCCCTGCCATGGATAGGGACACTTTGCACTATCCCAGGTTGCTCAGAGCCCCACCCAGCCTGGCCTGGAACACTCCAGGGATGGGGCAGCCACAGGTTCTCTGGGCAACATGTGCCAGGACCTCAACTCCCTCACAGGGAAGAATTTCTCCCTAGTATCTAATCTAAATCTACTCTCAGTTTGAAGTCATTCCCTCGTCCTGTCACTATTCTTGTAAAAAGTCTCTTTCCATCTTTCTTGTAGGCTCTTTCCAGGTACTGGGAGCCCACAAATAGGTTATCCCAAAGCCTTCTCTTTTATATAAGGACAAATAAGGAAGAAACTGTAATTCAGATGAATGTTTCATTCCCTCCTCTATCTCAGGCCATGAGACAGGAAGAAGATACTGCTCCCCCCTACATTATCCACAAAACAGTTCATTTGCTTCAATGGAAAAAAACTCCGAAGAACATAAACGCAGCCAGCTAACAACCCCAATTTAGGAGGTGTACACTTCATCCAGTAAAAGCTCCCACAAACACATTAGGGATGTGTACAAAGTGTGTTGCTGTCAGATCAGTGGGCAGCGGAAAAAAGACCAAGACCAAATGTTCTTCTACCAAGGGAGTTGGATTGAATAGAGGCTACCAGGGCACAGCTGCTTTAGATGACAGGGAACTATACAGCAGTCTGTACAATATGTAAGTGCTTACCTAGGAATCAGAGCTTTTGCTTCCTCAGCTGTCTCAGGACACAAGTTAGCCAAACATGCCAATTCAAACTTATGGAGCTTCTTCTGGAGGAGTAAGCTGTAAGGGAAGACAACAATTTGATGAAGTTACGAGACAGAAATAGAAAGGGGCTTAAACTGAAGCGAATGTTTGTGGTGGCTAACAGCTGGTCTGAAGGGCCTCAGAGTTATACATAATCCCAACTGAAAACTTAAATAAATCTTAAAACTGAAATATAACTAATTATATAAGTACCTCAGTTACATAACTCATATGGACAGCTGAGGACACAGGCAGCTATGGGCAGGTTGGCTGGGTGGCAACTGGTTCAACCAATCAGGATTAACCATGCAGACCCTCAAATCTATACAAGGAGAGCATCACTCAATAAAAGTCAGCTCTTGCTCATGACCCTCAGTGTGTTTTGTCTCCAACATCAGTGACAAATGTTTTTGCACACTGCTTTTGGCACTGAAGTATTTTTTTTCAGGAGAAAAGACTCATTATATAAATGCATAGAGGGAAAAACAAAATCCTATCTGCTAACTCCAATTCCCCTGAATTATTCTGCAAAGTCTAGAAAATCCTCTCATTTAATGCAGTCAGCTGTCAATGAACTACTGAAAACAAAGCAGTTCAGAAGGCTTGACCTGGACAAAGTATAACCCTTCATCAAGAACTTCTTGCCTCATTAGGAAGACAAAAGACTCAGAACTAAAGAACAAGTCATGCAACACCACTAAAATGTGCTTTCATAAAGCAGGACCAATATTAGGGATCCAATTCTCTAATACAGTGTTTGGTACACCCTGGCTTTCCCACTCACCTGCGCACGCTGGCAATGGTTTCACGATTTTTGAAGCGGCTGAAGCGTGCTGTGTAGTTCAAGGTTTTCATGAAGACTTCTGACAGCTCCTGCTCATCCTCCGCGCTCTCGTTCTGCTGCTTGCGATGCTCGAGCAGCATGTGCACCTCAGAGTTCAGGAGAGTTTCCGCAGTTTCAAATTCTGCAGCCAAGTGAGAGAATGTCAGCATGAAAAAAGGTGGAACGTGTTTGAAAAGGGGGAATTGCACAGGTTTTGTATGTAATTTAGCTCTGGGTAATAAAGAGGTGAAAATGTGGCAGTTGTGTGAGCCCTTTCACCAATGACTAGACAGCATTTCATGCTTAAAATGCTGATAAAAATTACACTTCAAGGGATAGTCCAAGGTGTTAGTCTTTTTGACCATATATTTTACACTTGTAGCCCTAACATTCAGATTTTTTCATATGCGTGCAGTATGTTTTCTTCACCCAATTTTGGCAGAAGTAATGCATGACTTGATACAGAAAAAAATATTCAGAACTGTAAAACTCTACAAAAATCAGAATTGATGCCACGGTCTTCAGAAGTCTCTGAACTCATGAAATAAATATGAATGCCATTGAATGTTTTAAAAAAGCTTCATTTACTTAAAAAGTTAATTTACCTACTGAAATTTTATTATCAGAAAAGAAAATAATTTTAACTATCTTAAAAATCCCCCCCTTTAACCACCTTTGAATTTATTCATTATCACCATAACCACTCTATGTATTCCAATAACAAGAATATCTTTCAACATCAGCAGTTTGAGCTGTTCAAAGCAACAGGGTCAGAGGCTGCATCCCAGAGTGCCTGACAGCACTGTTTTATACAGATACAGGGTCTAGCAACTTTTGTTATTTTGTATCGAGCATTAAGTCAGCTTGGGCTAAACATGAGATTTTAGCATAAAAAAGCACGGAAAACAGACTTTCAGAACTTACCTATTTTTCATAACTCAACAATGTAGCACTGCAGCAGTGTCCATTCCAAACACCCCCCCCTTTTTCTTTTCGGGGTGTAAACACATTTCTAGAATTTATACTGAATTAATTTTTGTGAAAAATACACAGATAGTAAACGTCCAGCAGTATTCACAGAGTTCCAGAAGGGCTTAGATTGGAAGGGACCTCTAAGCCCAGTCCCACCCCTGCCATGTGCAGGGACACCTTCCACTATCCCAGGTTGCTCCAAGCCCTGTCCAGCCTGGCTTTGAACACTTCCAGGGATGGGGCAGCCACAGCTTCTTTGGGCATCTGTGCCAGGGCCTCACCACCCTCATAGGGAACAACTCCTGTGTCAAAACACACCACTGAAAAAAGCTCATATCAGAAACTAATAACCTTTTCACTATAACCTAACAGGTCTTTTTTGGGTTCTTTTTTAAAAATACCGTACACACACGTAGCGGCCCACCTAAGAATCTCCATATCCTAGCAATCACGAGATACTTAAATATATACAAATCATTTATTCTCCTGATTTTTATCAGTCAGGACTTAGCAGCTGCTGGAGGCGCTGAGGCGTTGAGCAGCGCTCCGGTCCATGGAGCGGCTCGGCCAAGCTCGTACCCTCACA